AGGAATCCAGAGGATAAATAAGGTAACACGGCAGCATGGAAGCATCTTTGGGATCCCTCCTGAGCAGCAGCAAGGTGAACAGCTCAGCGTGCTCGGGGCTTTCATTTTTCTCCCATGTAACACGTTCAGTGGCACTAATAGAGCAGCTGTTCCTGGAGGGATTGCCTCGCCGGAGGAGCTGGCTCTGCAGCCTGTTCCTCCTCCTAGGGCTGCTCATGGATCTCTGGCAACCTGCCAGCACAGGGTGCCCCCCCTCCAGGGTGGGGACGTTTGGTTATGATGGTTATGATGACTCCAGGACTGCAGTCAGACACACGGTGTTGTCAGACTTCTGCTCAGGGAAGCACCGGCTTCACGTGCCTGCCTGAACAGGGGACCTGGGGAATCATTCAGGGGTGCACCTGGATGGTGCAGAGACCCTAAAAAAATCCCTGGAGCCAGCAAGGGGTGGAGGAACCTTCCCCATGATTTGTCAGAGAGCTGCAGCAGTTTGATATCCAGCAAATCTCTCATTATTTGCTGGTTGTTGCCCTCAGACAGGCTGCAAGGTGGGTCAGAACAACAGCCTTTCCCTGCACAGAGGTGTCTGGCTACCCTCCTCACAAGGTCCTGGCTGGGTGATTTTGCACTCCTGGAACCTTGGAGAGGAAGGATGTGCAAGGAAACCTCACCCAGCTGCCATCCAGCTTGCTCCCTCCCTTTGCAAACCTCCACCTCTTGCAGCAGTCTCTGGGTGGGGAAGCTTTGCCTGCCAAGGCTGGGCACCCCCAGCTTTACCTTCACAGGTGGGTGGAGGTCCTTCAAACTGGAGATGAGTGCCTAGCTTGCAGGTCAGGATTTCATTTCCTATCAGGGTAAAGCCAGGAAGGCATCTGTACCTCACTATGTCACCTGCAGACAGAAACAGAAAACATCTTGACCCAAGTGAAGGACCTGGGAAAAGGGGACCATGGGGTGCTGAGACCTCCCAACTGTGCCTCAGCCACCCAGCTCTGGCATGACCACCTGGCAAGAAAAGGCCCAGGAAGGCAGGCTGGAGTCCCAGCTGGGCTGAACTGCAGCTGAAACGATCACAATTTGTGCTAAGTCTTTCTGGTGGAGCCTTCCCTCCAGGAGAGCAGCCAGGGAGGAAAGCTGCTTGGAGAACACTCCCGGCTACGTGGCCGGGTGTGCAGACACTTCAGATGTGGCTCTGGCTGAGAACAGCAGCAAAGAGATGCTCCAGGCACAGTCGATAGGGGTGAAACACTCTCAGGAAAGAATAACTGCCTCCCAGGCTTCACACAGGGCTTTGTTTGAAACACCTGAAAACTGTCATTGTGGCAAAGGTTGCTGAATGGTTCTGAACACTTTCAGGGCCCTCACAAAAGCCAAAGCACTCACAGACTATCAGAGAGGAAAAGCCTTGGGACAATCCATCATTTGACTCCAGGTGTCAGGCTGAGCAAGGTCACACACAGCTCCCCGTGCCACATACCAGGACACACACAGAGGTCTCCTGAAGCCCCAGACATGGGGTCACAAGGTGTGTGTGTTGTCCTGTGGACAGTGCCAGCAGCTGGCCAGGGGGAAGGGGGGCTGGGAGACCCAGGAGAGGCCACCTACCTATGTTAAATTCTTCATTCTCAGTGATGATTTCTGCATTGGGAACGATGGTTGGAGGCTGACATCTGAAGAGCTGGTAGGCTGGAAGAGAGCAAAGGAAGGGCAGATGTTAAGCTGGGGTGAAGGCACCACAGCCATGCAGGTGCTAAGCACAATGGACATCCAGAAGGAACAGGCAAAAGCCCAACCTGTCCTCCTTCCCCTCTTCAAAGCCCACAGAGATGGCTCCAGGTACTTGTGCCCCACAGGAGCTTTCTCCAGTTCCTTACACCTAATAGCAAACAGGTTGTTGTCAATCTGTGGAGACTGCCCACAGTCCACTGGCTGAACACTGAGAAGATCAAAACTAGAAGAGGGGAGATGGAGGTTGGACATGAGGAGGAAATTCTTGAGTGTGAGGGTGGTGAGAGCCTGGCCCAGGTTGCCCAGGGAAGCTGTGGCTGCCCCATCCCTGGCAGTGTTGAAGGGCAGGTTGGATGGGGCTTGGAGCAACCTGGGCTGGTGGGAGGTGTCCCTGCCTGTGCAGGGGGGTGGGACTAGATGGTCTTTAAGGTCCCTTCCAACTCAAACATTCCTATGACTCTATGACAACAAAGACACTGCTCACCAGCAGGTGGGTGAGCAGGGCTTGAGCAGTTTATGAAAATAAACACACAAGAGCTGAGAGCACCTAAATTGAAAATAAGGCACTGGGAACTAAATGAATATTAATGAAAGACATTTTCTGCTATTTGCTCACCACTTCTCTGCATCCTTGCTCCCCCTGCACCTGACCCTGGACAAGTGTAACTTCCTCTACAATTTATATCAGCCTTTTAATTTAAGATACTGGAGCTCAAGCTGCTGCTGAATATTCATTCTTACTAACTCCACAATGTTGAACTCTTCACACCACAGCAAGGCTGGTAGTCCTGGCAGCAACCTCAGGGAGGCTTGTGGTGATCCTTAGGTTGCATTGCCCCATTGCCCCTACTCCCTAAACCAGGGTAGGATAACACATTCCCAAAAGGCTTGTGGAAAAACATGATGTTTGGAGGCCCAGGGAAGAAGGAATCAGCCAGTTCGGGTTCATTTGAGGGAAGGGCTTATGGAGCCCATGTGGGCAGGGTGGAGGCAAAAACAAATGTGCTACTCCAGGGAGCTAAACTCAAGCAGGAAGGGTCAAAGGAAAGCACCAGCTCTGGAACTGGGACAGTCAGTCCCTGCTTTGCAATCCACCATGGCAGCACAGAGAACGGATGAGCAAAGGAGCTGGGAGAGGATGGGAGGCAGCAGAGAGAACCTTTCTGCTGCACAGCAAAGAGCCATCCCAGGAGGGAACACACTCATTTGCAAGCTTTGAAACAGGTGTTTGACAGTGGAGGAAGAAGAAAAGGAAACTCTAACAAAAATTTTTGAATTAAACGCTATTTTAAAAAGCTCCTGACAGCATCTATTGAAGTGGAATGATAACCCAGCATTTAAAGCATTAATCTCCTCTACTTAATGGTCCATATTTCAATACAGAGGTGTGATTAAGAGGGGTCCAGCATATGGGTGATACAGCACCTGGAAAGCTCCTTTCAGCAGCACATCCATTTGTTCTCACCAGGACAAAGCAGCATCCTGTCCTTGAAACCACACAGGGACCCCCTGAGTTACTGCACCAGAAAAGCCCTTCCCACCACACACACATCAGGTAGTGCTGGCACCTGAACTAGCCCCTTTAATAATAAGGTGCAACATCACCATTTTCCAAGGAATGCTATTGAATCTTTAAGCTTTGGGAATAATTCTTTTGTCTCCCTTCCTCCACCCTACAGAAATGTTCCTTTGCAGGCATTTAAAAGGGCAGCAGTTCTCTCACCCAGCTCTGATCATCCCTGCCTGGGAAAAGACAATTTGAAGCTGAAGAAGGACATCTCCTCTGTCCTAGATCTGCCAGTATCCAGGCACAGAAATGGAAAATAGACATTGCTATAGATCCTGAGGAAATTGCATTTCCTTCAGTTACACCCCAAAGGGGGATGATGAAGATTTAACTTCCTGAGCCTGCTGGGAAAACTTCCCCCATCCTGGCTGTGCAAGGCCCCAGTGGCAGAGGGAGCCTGGGAAAGAGGGAAGGATCTCACCTGGGAGGCAACCACCTCCATCCCTTACATCTCTGGGGTCAGGCTTTATTCTGAAGTCCCACATGCAAAGGAAGAAACCAGCCAGCAAAGGACACATCAAGAAAGGGCTGAGCAGCCACTGCTGTGCCCAGGTGGGGCTGGCAATAACTGCCCAGCACCACCCCCAGCCCCTGCCTGCCTGAGACTGCCCTTGTGCCCCACACAACCCCTCAGCTACAGAAACCTCAGCAGAAAGTGTCATCAAGATTAGAGAACAGCAACATGTGCTGAGGGGCTCTAACCACAGCAATGACAGCAGCTGATCCATGTGACAAAAGGAAGCCCTGGCTGAGCTGCACTGGTGTTTACACGCTGCTCATTTCCCAACCAAACTGCCTCAGCCATAATTTTTTGCATAACTGTTACAGACACACCAAGGAACATAAATCTCAGAGTGTTTTGCAGCACTAAAGCAATTCCCTCCAAAGCCCAGCAAACATTCTTTATATTCAGCCTGTCTGTGCAATCCTTGCCTGTCAGAACTGAGCAGAAGCTCAGGCATTCTGCATGGGTTCAGCCTGTAATTCATGTAAACTTCATTGCCAGCAAATTACCAAGGCAAGAGGAGCTCTCCATTTGTGCTTCCCCAAAGCCCAGCACTGCCACAGGAACTCAAAGCTGAGCCCTTGTTTAGTGATGGGAAACAAATACTCCCATTTCAATGCAACACCCAACATCTCTCTAGCATGAGCTGCACTCACACCAAGGAATCCCCAGCTAATCCAGGGATGTAGAGGAAACCTTTTCCTCCCCAGGGAAATGAAGTCACCTCCCAGCTGGCACACGTTTGAAACAGGACACCGAGATGACCTAATTGGTTTAGCACCACATTAGAAAGACAAAACCACCTCCACACTGCAGGGAAGGAGAGTTGTAGGTAAACAAGAGCTGTCCATGATAGGATCTGTCGTGGAGATATTTACAGGCATCACCTTGAGGCAGAGGGCTGGGCTGGCTGCTCGGTGCACTTGCCCTGTGCTGGGACCATCACCCTGTTCCAGATGTGTTTCCACACCTGCACAGGCTCTGACCACTCGCTCAGCAGTGTAAGGGACCTTCAGTCTCAAAGCTGTAAATCTGGGACCTTTGTGGAAGACTTCAGGTACAAGTGTGCTTTTTCACATCTCTTGCCCAGCACTAGTCCTCCCCACAGGAGCCACAGCTGCCCCGTGCCCACCCCCATCCCACAGCATGTTCTGCTCAGTCAGTACCCACCATAGAAATAAACAGCAAAAATCCCTCCGTTGGCTCCATCACTGTGGAATTTCATCAGGACCTGATTGGAAGAGCTTTGGGCTGACTTCTTAGCAGAGTTGCCAGTGAACACACCAAGCTGTGGGGCTGTTTGCTGTGGACCATCCCTAAAATCATGTCAGAAACACAAGACAAGAGCATCACTACATGTCTTCAATCCTTAGCAACACACAACCTCCCACACTGCAGGTGCAGGAGCTGCCCAGGCTCTTCCTTCCTTGTCCTTCCTTTTCTACATCTATATATATTACAGCAGCTCCCTGGGCAGCTGACCTGGACCCCCAGCCCCCTCCCCACTCCATAACCAGGATCACCTCACCTGGCAGTGCTGTGCTTGCTCAGTAGATAATTACAAACATGAACTTCATTTTTAACCTCAGAACTTGAAGAATTAGGGCCAGTTTTCTAACGCAGTTTCACTCCCCAGATCTATGAGGTCCTACAGGTGCTGCTTTACCAAGGCAAAAGCACCAGGAAAGCCAAGGATTCCTGTAGAGCTTCCAGCCCCAAAGATAACAGCATTTCCATCCCTTGGCACGTCCAGTGGTCATTCCCCTCGCTGACCCTGCACTCCCTGTCTGCACGTAACATCCACCGTTTGGAGACAGCCACCTTGTCCATTTTGGCAGCCCCTTACAGCACAGGCTCCTCAATCTAAAGGCCCTATCAAGCACCAGGAGTTAAAAACATTCCAAATCTTCATCCCAGTGTCCCCAGAGGATACTCATGCTCTCAGACACAGCATTACCCATGCACAGCAGCAACTGGTGCTCTAGTTAATCATCAAGAGCATCTCTGTGAAATGGAGCCTTAGTAGCAACTGGAGCCAGTCCTCACAACTCTGCTGTACCCACCAAACTGTGATGAAGTCGTTGTAGGGCTCTGTTTGCAGCAGAGTGAAGTTGAGATGGATTCCATACCCCACTGGCACTGTGAGAAGCCAAGTGCAGTCCTGGGAATTGGGGTACTGGTTGGGGAAGCCAGGAGAGTAAACTGTGCCATTCTGGGTGGTGATGTTTCCCCCACAGGGCACTGCAGATAATCAAACAGAAACACACACCTAATGAAGGAATATCCCCCAAACAATAACTTAAAGATCCTCTATTTCCCACTTCTCTTTCTCTCTCTTTATCTAAAGAGAGCAATTCTGGAGGATCCAGCCCCAAAACCAGGCCTAGCTTGCCTTGAATCGTTCCTGTCACAATGAAATCTAACATTTTCAACTGAATTCCATCACAATAAAATGAAATGCCTCAGAGCTGAAAGAAGAGCATCAGGGTGTTGTTTTACAGATGTGCAAGCCAGGTGTGCAAATAAACTCCAGCTTATGCCCTAGGAAGAGGCTCTGGGCTCCACCAGCTGTCTGCACCCATGCATGGAAAACACAGCTCCTGATGAGATCACACCAGTGGGCAAATCCATCCACTTGTTCATACAGCAGGGCCCGGACCAGGAGCAGCTGGCTGTTCACAGAGCACATCTGAGCAGGGGGGAAGGAAGATTTGTATGACAGCAGCTTCCAATTCATTAATCAAGAGGACAGTTCTACCACACTAGGTATCTTCCAGGTCCAAATGAACTTGCAAAGCAAAGAGAGGCAATTAGAAACAGGTGGTGAGAAAGAGCAAGATGGCATCCTGCAAGGCCAGGCAGGAGGACACAGCAGGTCCCTGCATCTGACAGCCCCATGTACAGGCACCAGCTTCTGGACCTCCCTGGCATGGAAGTTCAGTTGAAGTCATGATAACATCTGCAGAGTGTTACTGGGAACCTGCAACAACTGCAGGCACAGGGGGAAGTACAGACAGTGCCACTTCCCCGGGCCAGCTCTGCTCCAGGAGCCAACAGATTATCCCAATCCCTGCTTTAGGCAAACACATCCTCCTTCCCAGCTCAATTTATTCACTCAGGTTCAGTGCTGAACACTCACTCTTTTTCATACAGGAGTAGCTCCACAGACTTGTACCACCCTGGCCCTGACCTGATGTGCCAGATGTGAGGTTAGAACCAGGTATTCACTGCTTGGGTCTGCTCTGCTTTCTCACAGGGTCTGTCAAGCTGAGAAAAGTCTGTGTATTTATACAGCTCCATACACTCATTTTCTGAAACAAACAGCTAAGGAACCTCGGGGGCCAAGATCCTTTCTACCCTGCAAAGCAGCAGGCAGCCTGCTGAGCCCTGGAAAAACTCCCTGGAGTGGGGCTGGAAACCTCAACTTCTGTGCATTTATTGTAGAATTACAGCTTCTCTTTTAATTAAAAGGGCTTTCAGCTGTGACCTGCGTGGGAAAGGTGAGGTGGGTAGCCCCAGGCAGCCAGTCCTCACTGCTGCCATGCAAAAATGAACCATTTAAGGGAACAGCTACAAGAGGAAAGCTCTGTGCTGGCTGCAACAGCACCACCAGCTCAGCAGATGTGCACATAGAAAGAGGAAGCAAATGGACCAAAACGTGCCTAACCCCTCACCTCCCTGTGCTACTGGAAGTGCTGCAGGACAAGGAAGGTACTTAAAAAACACAAGGAAGGATTGGATGGCTGTGGCTGGAGAGCTGCTGCCTGAGTAGCTCAGGGCATCATCCTGCCATGAGCAGCACTCACCCAAGCAGCAGCACAGGACCTGCTGCTCAGCCAGCACACCCCTCTGCTGGGCACTGCAGCACCAGCCCAGGAGTCACTTCTCCATGCTTTGTGTTCTCAGGGGCTCAGGACTTAAAAGAGGAAAAATATCACCTGTCCTCTTTCCCCAGCACACAGTTCTTGCAGACCAAGTGCTGCAAGGAGGCTGGGGAAAAAGGGCAGTGCCCCTGAGAAATGCAGAGGGAAATCTTCCATCAGCAGTCCTGAACTTCTGAAGGGTTCCTATGAAACCTTGTAAAGTAAACCACACAAACCCCTGCCCATGGGCACAAGGGACGAAAGGCTGAAACTGCCCTGCTGGGGTTTGAAAAGAGAATTTGGACTTCTGAGCTCTGATTCCTTAGAACACAGACCCTAGGTCCTCCTAGCACACATGGTCTTCAGAAAGGAGACCATGTTGAAGGTTACTGAAGAACTCCCAGCTGGATCATTTGGGAGATACCATCATTGCCACACTAAGGAAACTAGACAAGGCCACAATCTTCCCACACTAAGGGCCCCCAGGGCTGCAATGGTCTTTTACCAGGGACTGTTGTTATTTACTAATGCTAATTCAGTTGAAGTGAACACTGCTGCAGGAATTTCACAGCAGGCAAGGGTGGTTCTTACAACAACCCTGGACTGCTTCATGCTGCAGGCACAGCTCCCAGTGGCACCAGCAGGGAGACTGACAGATCTAGTCCTCACCCACAGCATCAGGATCCAAACACACCACCTCAAAAGATGCACCTTGGTTTTGAACTGTTCAAAATGCTTGCTTTGACTAGGCTGAAACATGTTGAACATCAACTGACTGAGAAGATGCTTCACCAGCTCCAAGGCTGAGCCTTTATCCAAAGGGCACATTCCCAGCCTGCCTCCAGCCATGCTCTTGTTTCCAGAGAGACCTCCAGCACAGTAACAAAACAACGATTCAAAAGGAGACCAGAGCAGAGAACTGAAGCCTTTTCTCCCCCCCAAGGTGCTCTGAGGGTGAGCCAAAGCCATACCTTCACACCTGGGCAATGGGTGGTCCCAGTTCCTGTTGGTGCCATGCTGACAGGTCAGGACGGGGTGGCCGATCAGCTGGTAGCCAGGCAGGCACTCAAAGGAGATGGACTGGCCAACATTGTAACCTGCTCCTCTGACAACACCATTAGCAAAAGGCTCAGGGTCAGGACACTCCTGCAGCTCGTAGGCTGGAGGGGGAGAAAAAAAGAGAAGAATGTTTCATATTTCACATTTTCTCACAAAAGCAGGAAGAACATACTCCCCGTTCTGCTTGGCTACTTCCTCCTCACACAATGGCTTCCTTGATGGAGATAAACTTCAAGGAACCATGCCCAGAGCTGCATGGGGGTGAGGGAAAGTCCTCCTGCTGCTCAGTGGCAGCCTCAGCCAGGAGCATCAGGCTCTGTCCTGCCCTGCTCTGCTGCAGCCTCAGAGCCTGGATCCAGAGTCCCCTCACACTTCACTTCTAATTGGGAAATCTGCCTTGTTTTTCAACAAAACATGGACAACCCTGATGAGGAATGCAAGTCAATTGGTTAACATGTTCCACCTGGCATTATAAATTATTGGTCAGCCTTGCTAGAGCTAATTTGCATAGCAATTTCCATGAGATTACCCAGCCTGCCTCACAGAGCACATTCCTTCCTCAATTGTGCAGCAGCGCGTGAATTATATGGTGCATGAACAGGACAGCTAAGACAAAATTAATGTTTTCAATTAAGTATGAGTAGCAGCTTTTATTGCTATTTCTGGGGAGGCAGCCCTTTGTCAGTCCTTGGCTGGCTCACACAGCTGGAGACACGTGCTCCATCCTTCCCACTCCCCAGATCTCTGTCCCAGCTCCTGAGTGGCAAAACCCACCCGAAGGTTGCTCAGGATGAAGGACACGATCTGCCCTGGGTGTCCTCTGCCCCTTCATCTTCCCATACACCAAGAACAGGTAGATGGACAGAGAAGAGCAAAGGGTTTTGCAAAGACACTCATCAAGGCAGAGCTGTGGCTCAGGCAGGGCTAAAAGCTCATGTTGTCTTTCACGTGGGCAGCCCCAATCCAGCACCTTCAGAGAGCAGCAAATCCACCAGGAGACCCAGCACTTCCAGGGCCTCATTCTGCTAGGACCAAGGCAGTTGCTGCTCAGAGGACATCACCTTCACAACTGGGGAGCTGCCTGAGGACTCAACCTGGGTAAAAAGGTAGGCACCTCCATTCCCACCTCATCTCCAAAATCTTTTCATGTTAGTAACTTATTTCTCTCCTTTCACCCCAGGTATCCACGCCAGCCCCTGTGCTATTTTATTGGGCTATTTCCTCCTTCCCTGCTCCCTCCAGCAGCCTGTCCCAGCACCAGGCTGCAGCTAAGGGTGCATCTGGGCTTCAGCTGAGGCCAAAAAACAGGTACAAAATTCCAGAGCAAACTCGTGGCTGCTGAGGCCTCCCCTCCCTGCACGTGACAGTTGACAGAGCCAACATCTCAGTGCATCAGGCCAGACTGAATTCCATTGTCACAGAGCACTCTGGGAACATTTGTTACCTGCCTTAAGCATGAGTCAGAGTGAACAGATCCCAGTTACTAGGACCAAGCATGGCCTTCATGTAACACCTTTACACACTTTTGGATGAAGCCTCCACGGAACTGATTCAGCAGAACAGCAACAACTGTGACACCTCCCTTCTCTCCATCTCCCTCACCATTAGCACCTGGGGACAGGATTGTCCCATTGCTGCTTGTCCCAGGGCCTCCTTACCTTGGTATTCCAGCTTGAAGCCTGGCTTGTTCTCGGAGTGGTCACTGTGGAAGTAGAGGGTGGTTTCATGGGACGTGGACAGGAGGGAGCCGGGGATGTCGGTGCCGCTGAAGCGCCCGATGACGCTGCTGGTGTCGTGCGGCCCGTTGCGGATTTCCACAAAGTCATGGTTGGGCTCAGTGGAGAAGTTTAGGAACTGGATGTGAGCACCTGGAGAGGAGGAATGAACAGTCTGCCTCTAAAGCTACACCCAAGCCTTAGCACATCAGCACCTGCAATGCCCAGCACAGCCTGGTCCATCAGCACAGTGCGCCCACCATGGCGGAGGCAGAGGGTGCCTGTAGGTATGCGGGTCCTGCTGGTTTCAGGCAAGCTCAGGCTCTGAACCACTTCAGTTTCATGCTCTTGGAGCTCCTGTGCATGCCTCTCCCTCTGCCTGACACCCCAGAAAGCAGGGGGCAAGCCCAGAGCTGCAGGATCCCCCCTTGCCACGCTGAGCACAGGCAGTCAGACAGCAGGGCAGGATGGGCTGAGCCAGGAGCTGCCTCCCCCCAGCTCATGGCAGCTACACCAGGAGCAGGAGAGGTACTGCAGGAACCCCAGAGAGTCAGGACTTCTAGGCACCCTGATGGGGCTGGAGGAGAGCTGAGCTGCAGGCAGGCACCTTTCCCTCTTACTACATCCCGGTTTTGAAGGTGCTGGTGCCTGCCTGATCTGTAGCTGAGGTGGGACATGATCTGACACAAGCTTTGCTTGCTCACTGGTTACATTTACACAGGTGATGTTTGAAGGCTATTACAGATGCTTCAGAGACGTGCCCACAAACCCATCAACCTGTTACACTCCATGGTGACCTGTAACCACCTTTTGAAAGAATATTTCTCATTTCATTGCAACAGAGAAATGCGTCTTTTATGAGAAGTGTGATCAGGAGATCACACAACAGCTTCTGTAACTCATCTTGGCAAGCAATGCGTCCAGCACTGACCATGCCCTGACCAAACAGGGTCAGTTATCTTCTTCTCTTTTGTGACAGCAGCAAAGCAAAGCCAGATGTCTCACCAAACCCCACTGGCAGCAATATCCTCCATGTGCAGTCCAAGTTGCTTGGATAATTTCCTGGGAACCCGGGGCTCAGGAGCACTCCTTCCATCTCTTCTGCTGTTCCTCCACACTGGGCTGTAAAATCAACAGGGTTAATGGTCAGGATCACTCCCAGGTTCCCCTGGATGATGGTCATGGCCAGCCAGCCGTGCAGGAAATAAAGCAATTAAAAACCAAGAAGAGAATAAGGAAAACCTGCTATGGGACTAGCATGAAGCTTGCCAGGCTCTGCACAGTCCCATTACTAATGCATGTGCCTTTCTCCTGCCCTCTGGAAAGAAAACCCTGGGCCTAGTTTTGCAAATCATAGTAGGGGAGGCAGATCTGAGCTGCAAGAGAAGAAACAGATGCTCTGTGCTGTCCACAGACACCCTAACACTGCACATTGTGCACAGCCCTTCCTTGAATTTTTAACCAAAAAAATGACTGCAAAGAAACAGACTGATCCTCCTCTGACTGCAGTCACCACTACTTCCTTTTCTGCTTAACTGACCTACCTTGACTGCTTTACTTGTCAATCTCTGGGCAATTACTGAGAGATACAGAACAGAGTGTTTGCACATGGACTCAAGTGAATTCCCCAGCATGAAGTGATCCACAGATGACAGCACAAAATATGTTTACAAAAGGCATCACATGAAATATAAACAGAGATAGCATCTTCTCAGGGTTTTCTGCATGACCTCTGCCTTGTCATGGTAACACCAGCCAGCCAAACACACCCACGTGTGCTCCTAACATGTTCTGACAGGGAAGGTACAGGTTCCCTTTGTCCAGTATCTCACTACGTGTGCACTTGCTACTAATGAGGTTTCTCCCAAGAGATTTCTCTTCCTTTTTCTTCTTAATGGCTCTTTAATAGAACTACTACTAAATTATTTAGGAGTCAAGCATATGGATGAAGCAGACCAAAAGAAAATCAGCACACTTTGCCAGGGAAGCAAGCTGCTCTCTGAGCAGGGGAACCACCAAAGCCTGGGCTCCCAGGTAGACAGTGGGGCTCTGGGCAGTGTTTAGACACATCAGGGCATGATTAGCACAGGATAATGACCCCAGGACTGTCAGCACAGGGGGCTGCACCTCCCCATAGGAACAGGATGGTCAGTGCTTGGCTGCAGAGAGATGTTTATGCCTCCCTGAAGTTGGACAACCTCTCCAGTAAGTGTGAAGCAGGCTGAGGGATGTGGACAGACAGATGGATGGGTGTTTGTGCCACTGCACTTGGGCAGGACTGTCCTGACAATCCTGGATTCCTCTGCACTGGTTTTTACACTGTGATGGTGCCAACCAGGCACAGCCCAACCAGGCAAAACCCTTCTGAACTGGGGGACAGCTACTCAGCAGCTAGATGGTAACACTGGAATCCTCCTCCATGCTGGGACTCCCCAGCTCTAAAGCTGAGCTTCTGAATCCTTTCAGAGCAACTCCCAGGGGTGTGAGTCCTTTAGCTCAGTCATTCCACTTACATGTCCCTGCCTTTACTCCTGGCCTGCAGATCATCGGGTAGAAGATCCGTTAGCTCTTATAATTACTTTAAAGCAAAATGATGTAAGCTGGAACAGCAGGAGCCTGAAATAACTGTTAACTAAAGCTATTAAATGCATAAATGTCTCTCTCAAAGCCATAAAATGTGCAATATGAATATTAAACATCTAGATCTGCTAAAAGCAAAATACTGAAGATCATCCAAAAGCTGCAGCAGGTTCCCTTCACCCCTGTGCCTCCCAGGGCTCAGCTTCCCCACGGTGGAAATCACCTGCTTGGTGCTTTTCTCCCAAGGCCTGAAACACTCAGCCCTGCTCCTCAGAGGATGTCACGGGCAAAGAGCTCCCTTGACAAGTGACCTGGCTCTTGCTGGTCACACAGGACGTGCTGGACACCAACAAGGGGACAACAAAGCACCAAGTGGTGCCATTCAGAGAACCTGGGGTGTAAACAGGCAAAAGATGCTGGTTTGGTGATAGGATGATGTGTTTCATAAAAATAAAGGACAGTCTTGAGCTCTTTGGTTAAGATGGAAATAAAACTCTCACCCAGTAAACCCAATTTGCTTTCAGAAAAGAGAAGTTTTAGGTTTTCCCTTTTGAATGAAGTTTTATTGAGAAACCCCTTTACAGTCTGCACTGTAGCCAGGTTTTAAGGCCTCCTGGGTGCCCGACTGAGGCTTTTTGGTTGAAATTTCCCCTGTAACAAATAAAGATTTTTCTACACTCCACCTCTCTTCCAGAAGATGCATCTCTTTAACTCAGACCTTTACAATGTATTATTATTATTTATAAAAAAGCCCTGTAAATATCTGGTAGGTAGGAAAGAGCAGGAGTCCTACCGATGCACAGCGGCGGGGGGTAGTTCCAGCGGCGGACGGTGCCTGGCATGCAGGAGATGTGAGAGTGGCCCTGGGGGAGAAGGGAGACAAGACACAGGGTTTGCACCCAGTATCCCGGGTGTTTGTTGTAGTCCTTTCTGTTGGAAAACGCTGGGTACCTGAAGGGCATAGCCGGGTTCACACTGGAAGGAGACGACGTCGTTCACCAAATAGCGCTCGCCCACCTTCAGGCCGTTGCCGGGCACGGGGGGCTCGGGGCAGCTGGACAGGCCGACGGCTGCGGAGGCAGAGGGAGGTGAGTGCTCTGGGAGAAGGGATGGGGTCAGCACCCGAGGCAAAGGGAAGGCAAACGTACACTTTCATTTCATCCCAGCCCCCTGTTCAGCAACAACCGCCAGCACAGGCACTGGTGGGAAAGTCCCGTGGCCTTTGGATTCTCTTGCAGACCGCCCTGATCAGGCAGCATTCCCATGTTACAGGGTACAGCCAGGACGTAGAGGTACTCCCATTTTGTGCCTTCACTTAACCTACAGCACAGTTTTTTTACTGTACAAAGGTATCACAAATCACTTCATGATTCGTGGCCAGTAAAGCTTTTGGCTGAACCCTAAAGACTCAATGGAACAGCTGCAGCAGCTGCAGCATCTCCACTGCAGAACAAAACCAGCCCTGAAGGGCTCACACACTGAACCCTGAACCCTCCCCACCCGAGGCCCCCATCCCTGTGCCACCCTGTGCTCCTTCAAACTCTGGCAGCACCTGAGAGAAGACAGGAGAGGACACAAGAGGGAAGGATCTGCTGTTCCTCGTTGGCAAAATCAAGGGCATATGGAAAGTGCTGCATGCAATTTGTCCCTCTCTGGGCAGCAGCAGCGTGGTTTCACTCTCTGACCTTGTCCTCCCCATTTCCAATCACAGACTGACTCCATTCACCAGGAGACAGCAGCGGCAGCGAGTGCGGCTGGGCCTTGGCGGCGCCTGCAGAATCTTCCTTCAATCCCATTTCCACCTGAGCTGCATTTACAACTGGGAATATCCTGCTGCAAACCCAATTACCAACCCCCAGGGGCCGGGGGCCGGGTGCTGTGCTCCCCTTCACACACACTGTCCCCTCTCTGCCTTCTGGAAGGGCACAGGGAGCTCAGGTGGAGCCGCAGCCCCCGATCCCGCTGTGGCTCAGCCCCTTCCAGCCCCCCTGGCTCCCCGTGCTGGCAGCTGCCACCG